GACACTGCTTGGGTTGCTCCAGGCTTTACCCTGCCTTTACTCATGCAGCTCAGGTACTTACTTATCACTGAGAACGTTTCCTCTGTGCCAGGTCCCATTTCAGCGAGCACAAGCTGATATTCCCAGACGCTGACTTGTACCTTCCTGCTCCTTGGACACAGCTGGCTTAGTCTGAGCCCACACCTCTGTCAAGGCAGCACCCATATTTGAGCTAGTCACCCTCTTCTGCTCTGACAATCAGTAGAGAGGAATCATCAGTTTTGATGAATATAATCTGTGCTGTATAATCTGTTTAGATACTGTTTTAAAACGAGAGGAACAACCTCCCCAGTTCCCTTGTCTAGACAGACCAGGTCTCCATCATCTGTCCTATCCACATCTGCTCAGACAGACCTCCCTCTTTACTTACTTGCTTCCAGAACTGCTCCTTCAAGCAGCTGTTTGCTCATTAACATCTGCTTGGACATCCCACTAGAGACAACACAGAGCAGAAGTATTGCAGCAAGGAACCACTGCTGTAACAACAGGACATTAATCAAAGGCATTCCCAGCACAGCGAATCCTGACCAGAGCTGCATGCAGACTCAGGGTTGGATCTCTTTGGCATGCTTAAGGGGAATGAAAAATGAAGATCAACATTGCAAACAGCACCCTGAGGAGTAGGTCGGGTTTCTTACTGGCAGAGACTCAACACTTTCGCAGAATACACCCAAAACATTGTTATTGTGATTTGTTTAACCACTGCTCACAAGGAAAATCCATTTCCTCTGGGCTTCTGTGGGATAAGAGGAGGTTGGGTTTTTTTTTCACCGCTCAGTCAAACTGCAAAGATACTGCTGGTCCCAGCTGTTACCATATGAGGCTGTTTTTCCTTGTGAATAAAGCTTGAATTAGACTAGAAGTACATGTGCTTGTCTTAGCCTTTGGGACAAAGTGAGTTCCTTCTGCTTAGATCATTTTGTTCTGTGATGCCTAACTGATGGACAGAGGAACCTGCTCTCCTCCTACCCACTGCCAATGTACAGGGAAATAATAAATGTGTGGGACTCAGAACAGTACCAGTTTGCTGTAGGCACGGACCCTAAAAGTCTTTTCAGCCAGCCAGCTCCTTTTATATTTAAACACCTGTGTTTCCCTGCTTTATGATGTTTCTATTCAGGTCTAAAGCTGCCTGCCTCTCTTGTCTGAGCTTATCTCATGGCATTCAGGGCTATTCAGTTTACTTGGATTCTGGTAAAATGCAAGTTGATGAAAGGTGCCTGATCTAAGGAGCCTGGAGAAGTAAGAGCTTTTACTTAATGCTCAAGGATATATCACAAATAAAGAATTAGTTATTAATGGCTAGAAGAGTTACTAATGGCTACCTGAATCCCTTCTGCCCTGGAGGGTCCACCCTGCTTCCAGAGCTCACATAATCTTTACTTTTAATTTTTTTAATCTATATATAATCTTTACTTTCCTATTTCTGTTTTTATCCAGAGGATGTGAGTGCATATACTGGAATGGCAGCTATGGGATGGTGCAAGTAGAAATAATCTGAGCTCAGCCCACAGCCTCATTCCAGGGAAACAGTCCCTAGCCAGTGTTAGGCTGGTCCTTAGTGAAAGCAGTGACCTACTCTAGGAGGGATCTGGATGCACAGTCCCACAGTTGTTTGTTGCACAGGAAGCATTCCTTGAACTAAACAAGGATGTTGCTTCTGAGGGTGGACTTTATTTTCCCCATGAATCTTAAGGATTTGCCAAAACATGGAAGCTTGATCTGTTTCACGTTTTCTGCTGTGCCTCGAGTATTAGTAGTGGCTGGTCTGTGAGCTGGACCTGTTCCCCAAAATACAGGCTGAGCCCATTTCCTTCTCCTCCACTGGCAGCTCACCCCTGAATCCCTTTTTTCCTGCCTCACACAGAGATGCAGGATGCCTCACCCATGTGGACTTCAGGCATGGTTGGATGAGACTGAGCAGGGAAGGTGGTTAACTTTACGTGTTTTTTTGCCTTAGATTCTACAAGACAGGTAAAACGTATGAGATGCATAAACATGGCTCTTTGTATTGCCTAGAGCTAGCCAAGCTGAATAATACTAGAGCAGAAACTGAAACATAAATACATTTACAAGTTTTAACGTCAGAAGGGACTTTTCTGAGCTGATCTATGACTGTGGGACCCTTAAACTTCACCCAGTTATCTCTGTATTGAGCACTATAACTTGCATTTGCCCAAGCCATACCTTCCAAAGAAGCCTTCAAGTCTGGATTTGAAGCCACCAAGGGATCACACTCTGTGATCACCCACTGTGTAAAATGTGGGCTTTGTTTCCCATTTCGGTTTACTTGGCATATGTCTCCCAGCTGCTAGTTCTGGTGACGGCTTTCTGTTAGATTAAAGAACCTTTACCACCAGCAGCTTCTGCTTGAAACAATATTTGTTCCCTGTTGTCAACTTCTCGGCCTTTCTTCTTTTATTTATTACAATGATTAGGTCAAGATTTTCTAGGCTCCCTCCATAAAGCATTCCCTCCAGCCCCCAGGTCCCTGCTACTGGATATTTCTGCACCACCTTTTTCTGATATCCTCATGACAGCCCAGAGGTGTGCATTAAAGCACAGAGAGGAATTCCTGTTTGGTTAAGTGTTGGATAATGGCAGTAGCTCTCCTGAGTGACTGCTTTCCAGGACACAACATCCCATTACAAGCATGCTCTGCATCTTTTGTATATTTTTATATTTGATTCTATTAAAGCACAGTCTATTCAGTAACTCATTAGATCTAATACCAACCCCTGTAGATGCCCCTTAGAAATATTTCCTTTCATGTCCAAGTCCCTCAGATGGACCCTATTAGAGACACACCAGCCTGGCTTCTGCTAAGACATTTAGTGGATGCACCACTGACATTACACATCTTCATATCATGGAACCCTGTGAAAGTCAAACCTTATCAAAATCTAATTACATTGTGTTGCAAACATGCAGGGAGCTTTATCAGACAAGTTTAGGATGGTGCCAAATAAAAAAATCAAGTTTGGAAGCACCTGTTTTATATACAAGTGTCTAAACTAAGATTAATATTATGCCTATTCTTCAGTGCATAATAAATTGAAGTCTGTATCACATTTTCCTTTATTTTGCCTGGAATTCTATGTCAACCAAACCAGCATGTGTCCATGAGGCTCATTGCTGTGTATCTTGGCTGACTATTGGCACGGTGCTTCAGTACTTGGGACCTGCCCCAGTGCTCCAGAGCAGATTATAAATGAACATCAGTGGGCCAACAACTGATTCAGCCAGCTCTTCAAGGACTCTTGGGTATGGCTGTTTTAACCAAGCTGATTTCAGGCTGTTTATCAATAGCAGATGGTGTTTCCAGTTCTCCTTGATTACTGAGGAGCAGAAGGCACTTCATGGCCCCCCACAGCCCATCCTGTGGGCTCGTCCCCCTGCCACTGTCCCAGTAGTGACTGCCAAACACTCTGACCTCCTCTGCAGCAGGGCAGCTGGTTTGGTAGTGGCCATCATTAGAGGGAAATAGTGAAGTCAACTGTCGTGCTGCAGAAGGGGTTCATAATACATTGCCTAGGTAGATATCACTCCTAACCAGAGAGACACACAAATATATGTGCAAGTCCACAAGGTCTCCCTGAGGTAAGCACTTACCTGAAATTTTATTCCCACGCCCAGCAGAAACTCAGATATGCCCATTTGGTCTTGTTTAGTCCTACAGCTGCAAACTGAGGTCTCCAGGCTTCTCTGGCAACATGTTCCATCCCTGTTCTCTCCTATTTTCTGCCAGTATAGCTGTCTCTATTCACTGAAGATGAGGTTTTGTGATGTGTCAGGTTGAAATGAATGAGTGCATGGAGGTCAGTTTTTTTCCTAAGAGAAACGCTAATGCTGGACTGTGCAGGATGAGGTTTATTTTTGGCCTTTTCTTGTGCAAGTGAGTATATTTAATGATCTACAAGATCAATAGGTATATACTCAGAATTTCCCTGTCAGCTGAAGTCAGCTGGAATCTTTCTAGATCACAGGAGTTAAACAGCCAGTATTTGGACAGGTGACCTCAAAGGAAACACCAGTGATTCAGTAGGTGTGGTCCTTCCTTCTGAGTCAAGGCTGAAATGTGATGCCAAACAATGCTGGGTTGCCAGAGGACATAGTTTTGATTTGAAATATTGAAACTAACTCGAGTCTTGGTGGCGATTTAATATGCCATGATATTATACTGGATGATAATCCAGTTAGAATTAATTTAGTTGGCCTCCCTATATTGCTTCTGTCACTCAATGTCAGCAGGATGCTCCTTTCTTTTCCTAAACCTTTCAGAAGTAGAAGGTTGCTCTGACTAATTGAAGATCCCAATTGGATATTTTTAGGGTAAATTTAAGATGTGGATTTCTCCTACCAGTTCAGGATCCATTTGCAGTTAGGGCTTGGTATGCTCTCGGAGCATGAGGTTGGACAAAAGACTTATAACCTTTGGCTTTTCCACCATGTAGGGGGCAAATTTCCCTTCAGAACATTTTAAGGAACACAAAATACTTCCAACCATCTGGCCTGAGAGCCAGTGCTGGCATGGGTGAGGATGCCCAATGAGGGGCAGCTCTTGTTCTGAGACAAAGGCTTAGTGGATGTGATGGTTCTTCTTGAGTAAAAATATAATAAGTGTGAAGACCTGTTGTAAAATTGTCTTTTGCTCCACAGATAAGATTGAATCACAAGGGAGAGAGTGGGAGAGCAATATAATAAGTGATGCATAATAACACTTCTGTCTGTTGTATATAGCAGAGCATCTTATTTATTTGTCGCGCAGACTTATTTCTGAAGCAAGAGGCACTTTGAGACAGCATCCTTCCCCAGGGACCAGCTTTCACTGCTTGCTATTGTGAGGAGTGTAGGAGGCTTAGGGGGCAGCTGAAAGCATTGCACTACCCTGCAGCAGCATCTGCAGCACTCAGCTCCCTGTGAACATACCACAAATCCTTTCTCCCTGTTATTTCTTGCAGGTAAACTATGACCACTTTACTATTAGTGTTTGTGTGTTTGCAAGTCATCACTGCAGCCAACTTTGTGGAGCTCTCAGGTACGTGTCCAGGGTATGGGAAAGTGGGACTGAGCCCTGTGCTACACCCTGGTCCCATCCCCAAGTACGGGCAGCTCTCAGAAATAAGTGTACCCAAGATCTGCTCTGTGCACACAAGGAGGCTCCTCTGTTTGGGTGGCTGATATGTCACAGCCTCTCACTGCTCATGCACTTGGGGAAACAGGGAGACAGCTGCAGGCAAAGGCAGATTTATGGGGAAACTTAGGAATTTCAGCATTCCCCTTTTTAAACATTATCAGGTGGGATCTTGTAGGTGTGGGTAGCAGATATGCTGCAGTAGAGCCCTTCATTCCCTTCATTCCCCCATCCAGCATTGATCCAAATCCCAAAAGCAACCATGGTGCAGTGGTCATTGTCATAACTTCCCTGTAGAGACTAAACCAAAAAGGTTATGTCTGAATATGTGGGTACAGGCTGCACAGCAGACATAGGCACTGGATCATACGAAAGCACTGGATATTTTGTAATTAATGTGTTATTAATGTAAACATTGCTTTGTTTGGGAACTGACAGACAGTAGTGATGGCCTGGAAGTCAAGATACCTGAGCAGTCCCCTCTGCGTGTTGTCCTGGGAAGCTCCCTGAACATCCCTTGTTACTTCAACATCCCGGAGGAACAGGACACCAGTGTTATGCTGAACCCACGGATCAAATGGAGCAAGCTCTCAAATGGGACTGAAGTTGTCTTGCTAGTGGCCACTGGTGGGAGAATCAGGCTCAACTCTGAGTACAGGGAGGCGATTTCCTTGCCCAACTACCCCGCCATCCCCACCGATGCCACTCTGGAGATCAAGGCCCTGAGATCCAACCACACTGGGATTTACCGCTGTGAAGTGATGTACGGGATTGAGGACAGACAAGACACAATAGAGGTCCTAGTGAAAGGTAGGATCCTGCCCTTGCTCTCTCCTCTCAAGATCTTGCTGGGCAGAGGGGAGGAAGAAGCACATGGGCATTGAAGGCACAGCTCTTTCCATAAGCATAAGCCCTTTCCATCAGTTCACAGATAAGGTGATGGGTGGGTAAGCAGAAGCCATGGGCCAGGCATTTATTTTAGCAGGTTAGGACCAGACTAAACAAACCAGTAAAATGACTCATGGCAGAATACATGGCAAAAAAAAAAAATATTCTTCTGGCAGAAGGTGAGTTACAGAGACAGCAAGACGACATCCTTGGTAGGAGGTGGAACTGGATACGCTGGGCTGTTGCTCAGGCGTGTGAAGCTGGAACAGGGCTGTTCTTAGACCTTTAATTTTTTCCAAACATTTTAGGAGAAGGGATGCCCTCAGCTGGAGAATTGGACTGTTCTGGAAAAACTTTTGCTGCTGCCTTGCAAAGCCTATCCCAGTAATAGGGGGATAAAGTAACAACATTTTCATACAGTTCTTGTATTTTTTGTAATTTATGCTTTCTGTACAAGACAAGGCCACAGCTTTCACTGCAGGTCTGTACAGGATGAGGTTTATTTTTGGCTTTTTCTTGTGCCTTCTTTGGTGATGTGAGTGATGGCCTTTGTCTTTTCCAGGCATTGTATTCCACTACAGAGCAATCTCCACAAGGTACACCTTGAACTTTGAGAAGGCAAAGCAGGCCTGCATCCAGAACAGTGCTGTTATTGCCACTCCTGAGCAGCTGCAGGCTGCCTACGAGGATGGGTACGAGCAGTGTGATGCTGGCTGGCTGGCTGATCAGACTGTCAGGTAAGGAACCGTGGAGGGGAAAGGAAAACCACAGTAGGGTCGTTAGGGAAGGAGCCACTGACTGAAAATGGTTGGTAAATAGTAGCTGTTGTAACTGCTGGTGTGCAGAGGGAGGTGGTGGGTTGCTAGCCATTCTCTGACAGGGGGGATCTATAGTAGGAAAGCAGAGTCACCACTGTCCTCCTCAGCTGGTGCTGACGACTGAATGGACAGTGGCTTAATCCTGATCCTTCATCATCTTCATCAACAGAACCGATGCTGTGCCAAGGTGCACAGCTGTGGCTCAGCCATACCAAGCTGTGCATCCCCCACTGGGGAAGTACCTTGTCCTGATGTCTCTGGTCAGTGCTCCAAGGGCCATCAGAGTAAGGGCAAGACAGCAGCTCATCTTTCCCTTCCCCCACAACCTGGAAAAAGCAAAAAATCACCACACTGCACAGTGCTCTGCAGCATCCTCACAGCCTCCTGTGGCTGCCAGGGTCCCGCCCCCTACTCCTTATGTACCATCTCTCCCTCAGGTACCCCATCCACTGGCCCCGGGAGCGCTGCTATGGTGACAAGGATGAATTTCCAGGAGTGAGGACCTACGGTGTCCGTGAGCCAGATGAAACTTATGATGTTTACTGCTATGCAGAGCAAATGCAAGGTGATTTGAGGCTTTCGTTGTTACTAGACGCAGAAACAGACAAAGCCCTCATCATGCTTAGGCTGGACAACAGTAAATACAGAGGGCAAAGGACCTAGAGAAAGGACAGGTTAAAGATGGAAAAGCATATACCCCAGCCAGGCCAGATGTTCTCTACAGTCTCTTAGATCTTGGACAATTTTCATGTCAAATGACTAATGCAGTACAGAGGGTGGAGTCCGTCTAACCTCCACTACAGTCCACACCTTCCTGCCTGGGCATCCTTTTGAGGGTGTGACATTCAGAGGTGTCAACCACTCATGCTTATGACAGGGATCCATTGAAATATTCAGTACAACAGGACTGCGATTGTCCTTTATCTCCTCTTGCCCCAGGGATCCAACTGGTCTGGGAAGTTCTGCTCCAGTCTGTATTCAGCCTGTAAGAATCACTTTCTTCTGGACTTTATAAACAGTCACCAACACAGGGTTGCAGTTCAGCTCCAATACACAGGGCTCTTCATCTTATCCAGACTCTCAGGAGCGGGAAAGGGATAGAGAGGGAACCAGGATTAAATTATACAGGTAATTCCTGTGCTAATGGATGGTGTGATTGCAGGGAAAGTCTTCTATGCCACTGCCCCGGAGAAGTTCACCTTCCAGGAAGCCTTTGAGAAATGCCGCAGTCTGGGGGCGCGTTTGGCCACCACAGGGGAGCTGTACCTGGCCTGGAAGGATGGCATGGACATGTGCAGCGCGGGCTGGCTGGCCGACCGCAGCGTCCGCTACCCCATCTCCAGGGCACGGCCCAACTGCGGGGGGAACCTGGTGGGCGTGAGGACCGTGTACCTGTACGTCAACCAGACGGGGTACCCACACCCCGACTCCCGCTACGACGCCATCTGCTACAGCGGTGAGTGCGCGGGGCCGTGGGACCGAGCAATGTGTCCCCACACACCAACAAGGAGCTCCCTGGCCAGAGATAACCTCTTGTTTCTTTGATGTTTGGGTTTTTTTTTTTTAAAAAAGAGGAAGACAAAGCAGGTTTGGCAAAAGGGCTAAGTCCTTGTCTGGGTAGGAAGCAGATCCAGAAAGTACACGGCTGCTTGACCCGTACAAGAGGCTCTGCAGAGGTGGGTGTAACACAGCCTGCTTCTCTCCAGTCCTCCCACACCATCCTGCTTTCATAGCTCCCCTGGAGACATGGAGCAGAGCTCAGGTGCTTTGTGTACAAGACTTTGAATGCTGGAGATGGAAGAGAAGGAGAAAGAGAACAGGTCTGACCCTGAAGATGTGTATAGTGATGTGATGTGGTAAAGACACGTGACTGAGTTTCTGTGCTGGGATAAATCTGAGACTGACGCAGTCTCTGGCAATCATGGAACAAAACTGCACCTAGGAAGTGGAGAGCATCCCAGCTGCTCCCTCTTTCTTCTAACTACACGCTTCTCCCTGCAGCAAGAAGTGGGCAAAGCACAGTGATATATGGGCAACCAGAGACTAACATTTAAATGGGATTGACATAGTTAAAAAAAAACCAATATTTTTAAATATATGTTTAAACCTCTCTGATCAGATCTATTGCATCAGTCCAGATGCATTTCCCAGACCTTTGAAGGTACCCAGTTATGTGACCAAGCTAAAGGCTGGTTCACCAAACCACAGACTTCTTGTTATCTCAGGGTTTGCATCTGAAATCGCTGTATACTGTCAGTCCTTGTCTGAGCATATCTATCAAATTCTCTCTGAATCCCTTGATGTCTGAGAGGCTAAAATGAACTAGCAAGAAAATGGAATTGGAAATAAATAGAGCAGAGAAAGCAGTATTAGAGGAAATCCCTGACAGTTTCTCATTCTCTCTCCCTCCACAGCCAAGACCTGCTTTGCTGCATATCCAAGATGTCCCATCCCTCCCTTACCTGTCCTCACAGTTCTGCTTTATGCTGCTCTGTAAACCACTGTCCTTGCCATAAGCTGACCTGCTCAGTGGCATGTTAAGCACGTTCTCCTAGATCCAAGGGATGTGATTTGAGCAGGAAAGTGATTTGGGAGGGAACAGGTGGGAGCTGTTTGAATATATTTGGTACAGCAAGTGGTCCTGGCTGTCCTGGCAATGGGGTTTGTACGAGATGAGCTCCTAAAGTTGTAGCCTTGGCAGAGCTAAATAAGATCACCATCCTGGTGAAGGCTTCATGCACTGAGTGTGAGGACCCGGTTGTTTTTCTCCCACGGCTCAGACAGACCTACTGAGGTTATCCAAGCTCCCCTACTTTCCTTTGGGCACCTTAAATTCCTTGCAGCAGGCACTAGAGGTCAGTACAGACTTGGATATGGGCAAGGTGTTCCCGGGAAGGAGAACAGGGAGCCCAGCAGGGAATGTCCCCGCTGATTCACCAGCTGTGGAGCATGCAGTGGCTCGTTGCCTTGTGACCGTGCCCTCCATGCTGTGGCATTGCAGAGAGCCACAGTGAAGGAAGGAAAACTATTTCTTTTACAAAACCACCATGACTTCCTTAATCCTCTCAGAGCCAGCAAACACTCAGCTTCGTTTTGGAGGCAACTCCAGTGCAGTCCTTCTCCTCAGACTGACCTTGTCCTCTCTGATTGCTGCTTTGTATCCTGATGCAGGGGACGACGTTGAGACCCTGATCCCAGGGCAGTTCATCGACGAGACAGGGAGCGAGCTGGGCAGCGCTTTCACTGTCCAGACTGTCACCCAGACCGAGGTGGAGCTGCCCCTGTCACATAATGCCACGGAGGAGGAGGCCCGTGGCAGCATCGCCACCCTGGAGCCCATTGAGATCACACCCACCGCCACCGAGCTGTACGAGGGCTTCACTGTCCTGCCCGATCTCTTCACCACCAGTGTCACAGCAGAGACAGCTGCCACAGAGGAGGAAAATGTGACCAGGAGGGATGTCTCAGCAGTGTGGACTGTGCCTGAAGAGGTCACCACCATAGACTCAGGCGCTGCCATCACCACCATAGCCTTAGGCACTGCTGTCACCACCGAAACAGCAGAGGTGAGCTCAGTGGAAGAGATTGTGGGGGTGACTGCCACCCCAGAACTGGAGTCTGCCTCAGTGTTCACAGTGGAAGATCAACTGGTGCGAGTGACAGCAGCCCCTGGTGCCGGTCACCTCCCTGAGCAGCCCATCTCCCCCACGGGTAAGTCACCACCACTCCAAGAAGCCTGAAGATCAGTTTCTCCCTGAGGTAACCATCCAGCTGAAGGAAGCCCGAGCTTCTGCCATCACAGAGGGCATCCAGGGCCCTGCAGGTATGCAGGCCTGTTTGGCCTGCAGGCCTTCCACTACAGTAGGACAGGAGGCGAGGGGGAGAGGCTTTGGGCCACCCCATTATGTGCTGACAAGGGCTCAGCTGGCTGGTGCTTGGGCTGCAGTGGTCACAGTCTGCTCTCCCAGATGCATCTGACGCCAGGGAAGGGGAAAGTCAAGGCAAAAAGATCCCAAAGGAGGGCAAAAAAGATCCCCAGAAGCGGCAGCAGAGCTCAAGGAATGAGGCATCTCCCTCAAAGTGGGTTTGAGAGGGACTGGTCCTTGCACTGATGTTGGGAAGACCCTTTCTGATCACGCATCTCAGGGCAGGAGGGTCCTGTACCTGCTGTCTCACCACGGCTTCTCTCCTGCAGGTGTGGTGTTTCACTACCGCTCTGCCACCAGCAGATATGCCTTCTCCTTCATCCAAGCCCAGCAGGCCTGTCTGGAGAACGGCGCAGTGATCGCCACTCCCCAGCAGCTCCAGGCTGCCTACGAGGCTGGCTTTGACCAGTGTGACGCTGGCTGGCTGCGGGACCAGACAGTCAGGTAACAGTATTGTCTTGGCGACAACACCTCTCAGAATGACTATTCAGTCAGGAAATCAGGGCTTTGGTCTGTCCTGCCGCTCTCTTTGTTGGCATCTAAACCTTTGCTGGCCCGAGGTTGTCTCCAGGCCATGATATCTGGTGGCCAATAAACCTGTTCTTCTCTACTTGTTTTCCTCATTTCCTAACCTGTGTATACATCTTGCACCAGTGAGCTCTCCTGGTAGGTAGAAAAAGTAGAGGAAAATTTGTATTTGTTGTTCCAAGCTGTAAGTGGACTTGTCTCCAAGCAGCGCTGGGGGCTCTGAGCACCTCTAACTGTGAAGAGTTCATGCCTTGCTCCCAAGCACACTGAGGTTCTTCAGTCCTGGGTGCATAAGGCTGACCTTGGGTTACCTCCTCCCTTCTTCTTTTGGTAGGTATCCCATTGTAAATCCCCGAAATAACTGTGTAGGAGACAAAGAGAACTCTCCGGGCGTGCGGTCGTACGGCATGCGCCCGGCCTCGGAGACCTACGACGTGTACTGCTACATCGACAGGCTCAAGGGTGCGTTCTCCCCCTCCCCCTGCGCACTGCTGTGAAGCAAAAATGTGCTTTCAGCATTTTCAGAGTGTGCATGGGTGGGATGCAGGAATTCACACCTCCTTCCTCTCCCATCCCTCAGGTGAGGTGTTCTTCGCAACCCAGCCAGAGCAGTTCACCTTCCCAGAGGCCCAGCGGTACTGCGAGAGCCAAAACGCCACGCTGGCCTCTGTTGGCCAGCTCCATGCCGCCTGGAGGCAGGGCCTGGACAGGTGCTACGCGGGCTGGTTGGCTGACGGCAGCCTCCGCTACCCCATCGTGAGCCCCCGCCCCACCTGCGGCGGGGACGCGCCAGGCGTCAGAACCGTCTACCAGCACCACAACCAGACGGGCTTCCCTGACCCGCTGTCCCGGCACCACGCCTTCTGCTTCAGAGGTACCCTCCCAGACCTGTCTCCTCGGGGAAGGGGATTTCGCAAGGGAGGTCGGGTGTGCTGGGGTGCCGGTTTAGGCGAGGCGCTTGGATTGTGAATTTTTGGAAAATCCCTCCAATGCCTTTTTATTCCAGCTCTGCTTCCTGAGGAGGAGGAAGGGATCACCCCATTCTTCGAAGATGTGCTGGCAACACAAGTGATCCCTGGCGTGGAGGGGGTACCCTCTGGGGAGGAGGTGACCGTGGAGACAGAGTTTGCCACTCAACCTGAGAATCAGACAGCCTGGGGGACAGAGGTCTTTCCAACCGATGTGTCACAGCTCTCAGGTGGGTTCAGAGCTTCCCTGTAGCCTGTGTCATGCTTGGCTGGTGGTGTAGGGTTGGAACACTGCCAAAATATAAATAATTTTCCCAAATCCTTCTCTTTGTTTGATCTTTCTTTTCCAGTGAGTCCATCTGCTTTTCCTCCAGCTACCATAATACCAGAGGAAACAAGTACCAATGCTTCCATCACTGAAGTGTCAGGGCAGGTGATTGAATCTGGAGAAAATCAAGTCAGCGGTGAATCTTCGGCATCCGGGTGGGTGTCTGGAGTCCCAGACGCAAGTGGAGAACCAACTTCTGGAGTTTTTGAACTTAGTGGAGAACACTCAGGGATCGGAGAGAGTGGATTACCATCAGTAGACCTGCACACCAGTGGCTTCCTACCTGGAGAGAGTGGGTTGCCCTCAGGAGACCTGAGTGGTGTGGCTTCTGGTGTTGTTGATATCAGTGGCCTGCCCTCTGCAGAGGACGAGGTATCAGTGTCTACTTCAAGGATACCAGAAATTAGGGGGATGCCAACAGAAGTGGAAAGCAGTGGGCTGCCTTTTGGAGCTAGTGGAGAAATCTCTGGCACTGAGCTAGTCAGTGGCACGTCATCTGGAGAGGAAAGTGGACTCGCCTCTGGTTTTCCTACCATTTCCCTTGTGGACACCACACTGGTGGAAGTCGTGACAACAGTGCCAGAACGGCGAGAGGAGGGAAAAGGGTCCATCGGAATCAGCAGTGAAGGACATCTGTCAGGGTTTCCATCCTCTGAGTGGGACAGCAGTGGAGGAGTCCAAGGCTTGCCCTCAGGATCTGAGCCCAGTGGGGAGCCCTCTGGAGCGCTGGAGCTCAGCGGGGAGCCCTCTGGGGTACCTGATCTCAGTGGGCTGCCCTCTGGAGGGTCTGAGCTTAGTGGATTGCCCTCAGGACTGGATGTCAGCGGAGAAACACCTGGAACACATGAGGTCAGTGGCCTGGTGGACCTCAGTGGCCTTACCTCTGGAAGTGGTGAGGCCTCCAGCATTACCTTCGTGGATGTCACTTTGGAGGAAGTGACAACAACCCCCTCGATTACAGAAGCAGAAGCAAAAGAGATTTTGGAAATCAGTGGATTGCCTTCAGGAGCTGAAGATACATCAGGCACAGTATCTGGGAGTTTAGACATCAGTGGTGAGCCCTCTGGGCATGTAGACCTTGGTGGCAGTGTGTCCGGAGTGCTGGAGATGAGTGGATATCCGAGTGGAGTGATTGACAGCAGTGGAGATGTCTCTGGAGTTGATGTCACCAGTGGTCTGCTGTCTGGAGAGGAAAGTGGATTCACTTCTGGCTTTCCCACAGTGTCTCTTGTGGATACCACTTTGGTGGAAGTTGTAACACAGACATCAGTTGCACAAGAGGCGGGAGAAGGACCCTCTGGGATGATAGAAATCAGTGGATTTCCTTCTGCAGACAGAGGACTATCTGGAGAAGGGTCTGGAGCTGTTGAGACTAGTGGATTTCCTTCAGGGACAGGAGGCTTCAGTGGAGAGCCATCTGGAATCCCATACATCAGTGGAGAATTTTCTGGAGCCACAGATCTAAGTGGACAGTCTTCAGCAGTGACTGATATAACTGGGGAGGTCTCGGGGCTTCCAGAAGTCACTTTAGTCACTTCTGATTTAGTAGAAGTTGTGACAAGACCAACAGTATCACAGGAACTGGGCGGGGAAACAGCTGTCACATTTCCCTACGATTTGGGGCCGAGTGGTGAAGCCTCTGCATCTGGTGAACTAAGTGGGGAAACATCTGCATTGCCAGAAAGTGGCCTAGAAACATCCACAGCTTATGAAATCAGCGGTGAAACATCTGCATTTCCTGAAACTAGTATAGAAACATCCACGACTCATGAAATTAGTGGGGAGACATCTGCATTTCCTGAATTTAACATAGAAACATCAACCATTCAAGAAATCAGTGGGGAAACCTCTGCATTTCCTGAAATTTTCACAGAAACATCCACAAGTCAGGAAGCCAGGGGTGAAACATCTGGCTATCCTGAAATTATCATAGAAGCATCCACAGTTCAAGAAGTAAGTGGGGAAACCTCTGCATTTCCTGAAAGTAGCACAGAAACATCCACAATGCAAGAAATCAGTGGGGAAACATCTGCATTTCCTGAAATTAGAATAGAAACATCCACAAGTCAAGACATCAGTGGGGAAGCATCTGCATTTCCTGAAATTAGAATAGAAACATTCACAAGTCAAGAGGCCAGGGGTGAAATATCTGGCTATCCTGAAATTAGCATAGAAACCTCAACAGTCCATGAAAACAGTGGAGAAACATCTGCATTTCCTGAAATCAGCATAGAAACTTCCACAGTGCATGAAATTAGTGGAGAAAGTTCTGCATTTCCTGAAATTAGAATAGAAACATACACAAATCAGGAAGCCAGGGGTGAAACATCTGCCTACCCAGAAATTAGCATAGAAACTTCCACAGTCCATGAAACTAGTGGGGAAACCTCTGCATTTCCTGAAATCAGCATAGAAACTTCGACAGTCCATGAAATCAGTGGCGAAACATCTGCATTTCCTGAAATTAGAATAGAAACATCCACCAGTCAAGAAGCCCGAGGTGAAGCATCTGCATTTCCTGAGATTAGCATAGAAACTTCTACAGTCCATGATATCAGTGGGGAGACATCTGCATTCCCTGAGATTAGCATAGAAACACCAACAAGTCAAGAAGCCAGGGGTGAGACATCTGCCTATCCTGAAATTTACATAGAAACATCCACAGTTCAAGAAGGAAGTGAGGAAACTTCTGCATTTCCTGAAATTAGAATAGAAACACCCACAAGTCAAGAAGCCTGGGGTGAAACATTTCCTGAGACTAGCATAGAAACATCCACAGTCCATCAGACCAGTGGGGAAGCATCTGCATTGCCTGCTGCTAACATCAAAACAGCTGCCACATCTTTGGCCAGTGGGGAGCCCTTTGGTACTCCCGAGGAGGAGATTACTGATGCAACATCTGGAGCTGTGACACACTCCATAGCAGGCATTTCAGGGGAAACCTCTGTCCCAGACTTTGTAATTAGTACCAGGACTCCAGATGCTGAAACAACACAGGGACCCAGGAACCCTGAAGAGGCTCAGCTTGAAATAGAGCTTTCCCCTCCTGCGTTGTCAGGACAAGAGACGGAGACAGCTGCTGCTCCAGACAATCCCCATCTGTTGGCCACCACTACTGCTGCCCTGCCTCAAGCCTCACAAGAAGCAATTGACGCATTAGGACCCACTACAGAAGGTAATGTGTCTCATATGGAAGGGAAAACTTTATGGGAGGGAAGGGAGGGGGTATAGCTGTCACTTTTTTGCTTTCTATACAGCAGAGAACATTACCACAGAAGCAGGTTTGAGCAGAATATTCTTCTAGTGGAAAGCCATAAATATAGGGGGGTTTTCACAGGTCATGATTATAGAATCATTGTTTAGGTTGAAAAAGACCTTTATGGCCATTAAGTCCAAAGGTTAACCCAGCACTGTCAAGTCCACCACTACAGTGCCACATCTACATGTGTTTTCAATTCCTCTGGGGATGGTGACTTTACCTGTTTCCCCAGGCAGCCTGATCCAATGTTTGGTAAACTGGTTTCGCTTGACAGAGATTTCCACCCTGGATGCAGCTTAGAATTTGGAGAAGACGGGCTGCAAATCTCTGTCTTGTTCTGTTTCTCTTTTCATGATGTGCTGACTTGCTGCCTATACACACAAGTGTTGCTGTGGAGAGGGAAACTCTCCCTCAGCAGCTTTGCAGTGTCGAGGGGTAAGAGGCAAAGCAAGCCAGCTGGAAACAAAAATCTCTGCTCTGATCATCATCTGCACTGAGTGCAGTGTTTGTGTCAGGCAGACCGCTCCGATCCCTTTGGCACAGCATGTGGCCACCCTCTGGTCTGTGTCTTATGCTGCTCTCTGCAGCTAGAATGGGATAAACTTGTGAGACGATGCTCAGAGCATCACTAGTTTATGTCAACTCTGCTGATAAATGGCCTTCTCTCCACCCTGCCTCTTTTTGGTGTTTCAATGCTCTGCCTTTGGTAGGATCCCTTGTTGCCAAGTATAAACAGACACAATATTTAAATCTGAATGACCATTTATGGTGAAAACACTCTGCTAGAGTTCTGACGAGTATTCCCTGAGCAGTGTTCACGTGCTCTGAAAGAATTAGCATACTGCAGTGAGAAGAAAACTAGATGCGAGATGTTGTGCTTGCTGGTGGCTGCTTCTTGGCCAAGGAAGGAGCCCAGTTCCAGGAACACAGGATGTCCCGCAGCATCCCTGGGCACAGCTTGGTTTTCCTGTGCTGCTGTCAGGAGCTGGCACCCGGGAACAAGCCCTGTTTGAAAGCCACCAATGCTTGTCTTGTTTTATGGAGCTCTTGCACATGTTCAGCTCTCAACAGACCCCACTTTCATGTAGGACATGTTGCTTAAGTATGGTACAAAATGTATGTGCAGATAGATTTGCTCTGTTCCTTTAGAAAAGTATTATCAATTCCACCCCCTTCCACATTACCTCCTAAACGGCTTCTTTTGGTCAATTTACACGATTCAGCACAGGTATCTCTGAACTCAATAAGAGCCTGTAAGTGCAGGGCTTTGTGAGGCTCAGCCTGGTTTCTAACGTCATTTCCATCCCCAAAGTGTTTTGAATGAGTCACTGCATTTCCCTCTGCGTCACTTCTCTCCCTCTGAGAGCACAGGTAATCACAAACCTTTGTTCAGTCCTGCTCACAACACACCTGCGGTCCCCTCTGCCTCTGCTGAGCAGCTGCACAGAGGATGCTGCACAAGAGGCTGAGGGCAAGTCAGCAGGGTCGTTCCCACAGCACTGGACCCAGCCTGGCACGGCATCCAGGGCTTGGCAGAGTGACACAGGAGTTATGGACCCAAAAGCCCTTCTCGCACAATTCATGGGCTCTGCTTTTGGGCCATGCCCACTGCCACGTCCAAGCCCAGAGACAAAAATAAGCCAGCAAAATCAGCATTGAGGGGCAGGAAGGAAGCCAGTGAGGCTCAGTAAAAATTAGAAAAAAAAAAAATTAAAAAAAAAAATAAAAAAAAAAATTACTGGCCCCCAAATATGGTTTTATTCCACTGCTTTTTCTTTTAATAAATTACCCACAAGGCGATTGCCAGATTCTTCAGACCATTTGTTAGCCAACATTCTTGGGAAGTATTTTGAAAGAAAACCATGTGTTCAGCAGCTCATGTGTGAAGAAGCTTGAAAATGTTCTGAAATTGGAACATGTGTATTTGCAAGTCCCAGAGATGATGTAGCAGCTGGGGTTTCTCAGCCTGTGACAGCAAAAGGTAAGCAACGACTGCATGAAGCTTAACTGTAGACTTTTCATAAACTAGAGATGGACTTGAGTACATGTTGTATGGCTGGTGGTCCTACCAGGGAAGATATTCCAGGGAAAAGCTTCTCTTTTTATTGGTAAACTTCTTTACTACAGTATCCCTGCCAGGATTAAATGCAGTCTCGGTCAGGGTCTGAAGAAAGATCATCCAGGTGCAAGAAACTGTATTGACCATGAACTTGCAACACTCCTGCAACAAGAGAAACTTCTTCCAGAGAATTAGAGCAAAGAAATGACAAAAGAAATAAAATATATATAATAATTAAAAAAAAAAAAAAGGATGGAAAAATAACCATAGGTTTCCTTTTTTGGATTGTTACTCTTTACAGTGCTTTGGGGATTGTGAACACTGAAAATCTATAAGGAAAAAACTGTAGGCTGGATCCCAGAATGTTGTTTTCCATATCGTGGCTGCCTTTTCACTTGAAGTCTTGAAGTTTACTCTTGCAAAAAAATCAGCTCTCATACCTGTGCTTTGTGCTATGCTCAGGGTTTGTTGGATGCAGTGAATGCCCACTCAGTGCAATGAATTTTGACTAACATGAAAAAGTGGGTGAAGCTGGTTCAGCTTAAACAAGGAGGTTAGAGCGAGGAACTGTTGCCCTCTGGTCCTGTTGTTGGAGGGTCGCAGTTAGACACAGCAGCCTATTTATCTGGATGATTTTAGAAGAATGGTATTTTTCTGCTCTGCTGTAGCCTCTACTTCTCTCAAAAGCCAAGGCCAGAAGCAAAAGAAGACTGAAGATTAACGCTTGGAGTGCCAGTAATTTTTAGTATTTAACCAAATTGAAGGCTATGCATGTACATGTCTTTAGTCAGCAGTTTGATTCCTTCGTGAAGACAGGAACCCCACAAGCTTAAAGAATTGTTCATAGGCTTGGTTTCTTCATCCAGAATTTTGCCAACTCAGCGGGTCTTTTTGCTTCTGGTGACATTTGAAGACAAATAATTATTAGTTGAAAAAAGCATGCTGGCACTTCAGTGAAAGGCTGTGGTTTGGAGCACTCTGACCAGTCAATGACTTAAAAACTTCACTCACATTGCAGGGGAAACGGAGAAATGTGCTGAAATGGCATCTATTTATCTGAAATTTTGCTTATCTCTGGTGAAACAAGTCCACAGATTCTGCTGCCTGTGGCCCGGCACTGCAGAGTGTTAGAATACAAATGAGGAAAGGTCTTGGTGGACTTTCCTCACACTTCACAAGCTGGAAGTTCAAGGGATAGAGTTTTGTTGGTTCAGAGAAAAATCACACAGGAAAAAAAAAAGTCAAGAAAATGTTTATCTGCTTCATAATGTTTCACCTAATGTGGAATGAAAATTATGCTCTCAAGAAGGAGATGGAGGTATCAGTCCTATCTGAGAGACAAGCAAAGGCACAGACCATTTGTGGCTGACTAGATGATTTGGTTTCTCCTGGATACACTGTCTGCTTTGCATCAGAAGCTAGTTAGCCTGAATAAAACCTGCCTCTGCAGAGGTAATGTACAGTCCTTTACATATCTGTCTACTTCTACATATAATATTTTGGAGACAGATGTCCAAATTTCCTGAGCTCTTCTTTCATGAGAGTGTTGAACAAATGGAAGGTTCCAGCAGATCAACAGGTCCTCCTCAAAACTTAATGATTTCTGGTAGAATAAGTGTTTTTTTATGGATTCAGCAATACCTGCCCCTTCTGCTACAGGAAGACTTCAGTTCAATTATTGTAGTTAATTTTTTTAATGACTTAATTGCTGGCTATGTGATGTTCAATACTAGCATTTACCTCAGTATGCGAGAGAACTGGTTCCCCTAACTCCTATTCTTTTCTTCTAGGAATAACCCTTCAATTGCTCCAATGTTTTTCTCCCCTGTCTGAGCTATCAGATCAGTAGTTCAAACTTCCCTGCAGTCTCTGAAAAGCAAATTTGATTGGTACTTGGATTATTTTTTTCCTCCATCTCTAGAAGATAATTATCTGGTTGGTCTCTGATCCTCTATGTTGTGATTGCACTTACAAGGAGGCCTATAAAGGAAGAGTGAGGGGCACAGCAGGCACTACTGGGCGTGTATCTTACCTTTTCCCCTCTGCAGAACAAAACCAGGAGGATATAGAAATATCCTAGTGTATATTACTAAACTAGTTACTCACACCTTCAGGAAAACTGTAGTTTGTTGAAGGTTTGGGTGATACCATCCTCTCTGTCCATCAGCTGCTTCTCCTTAGGGGATGTTTCAAGCACAGAGTTGACCTTGTTAAATGGAAATTCTTGCTCGTCTTCCATACAGGCTGCCATGGAGAGAAATGCACAGACTGTACTGTTCTAAGAAGTGATAGCACTGTTCCTGGCATTGTCTTCTTAGCCCGGGATGAAGGATTTTAAAAGCATTTCTTTCTCACCACTGAAACAGAGTGTTCACTTTTACATGTCCTTCGCCTTCTGAACAAAAACAGGGTCAATCTATTTCTCTTTAATTTCTAAAAGATTTCTCTATCCAATTTCTATGATCTAGTACAGCAAATTGTTTCCAAAGGCATTGAGAGAATCATAGAATGGTTAGGGCTGGAAGGGACCTCAAAGATCATCTAGCTCCAATCCCCCCACCGTGAGCAGGGATGACAAGAATACTTCTATTGCACCAAAAGAAAATTGTTCTGACTAAATATAGCATGTGTCTGGCAATGTAGAAGAAATCTTAGGAAGAAAATGGTGAAACAAATTCAAAGTTTGCATTGCAGCTATGTAACTCCCCTTGCTTTCTCCAGCCAACAATTTACATCTTCCAGATGCAAGATCCAGTTTACATTGGCTATTCTGTTTTAATTGTTTTATTTAAAAAAAAAATACATCTAGAAGTTAGAGCTTGGGTCCTGTTGGCAGCAAAAGATAGAAACTGTTGTGACAGTATAACTGAATAACCTCTTGCAACTTCTGGGCAATTTTAACTGCAGTATGAATCGTTTTCTAAAGAGTCGCTAATTGTGCATTATCCTCAAGAAGTGAGTTAATAACATGTTCTAACTGGGTTTCCTATTCTTGGCACCGTGAGGCATTTTCTCCCTGTCTTTTTTTTACAGCTGCAGCTCTTGAAAGCAAGGGCTGCCTCTGTTCTGCATTCCATGACACGTTGCTCTCCTTCGTTATGGAGGGATAATAATAGCAGTACTCTTGTCTTCTTGTCGGCTGATAAGCACTTGAGCTGCATCTCAAAGCAGAGCTGACTTTTTGGATGACTGCTCACCCAAGCAAATAAATAGCTCATGTCTGTGTAAGATCCTTAAGTGTCATGGTACTGTCAAGGTACCTGGCAGCTGGTGCCGTGGAACTGGGAGCTCACTCCATGTTGAGCAGGGCTGGCACACCTAGTGTGTTGCAGGCTTTTCAGCTGGTTGAAGAGGTGTACAGAGACTTCCTGACCTCATCTAGCTCTAAACAATGTGAAAATGGACACATTTATAGTATATAAAAGGGATGAAGAAAATAGTCAAGTGTTGTGTGATAGATGTGGTTGTTTTGCTTTTTTTTTTTTTAAATGGAGTTCTCCTCTCCCATAAATCCTTTGGCTTTGATGCAATATCCTAGAAAACAACACCCACAAACCAACTTGTGAAGATTTCCAGAGGCAACTTCACTGCCAAATTTACTATTTGGAACTTTCTAAAAAGACCTCCAAAATCCAGATTTTTTGGGAGGACCAGAATAAGAAATGCTTCCTCCAACCCAACAGCTATGTTTGAGTTTCCCAATATCAGCTTGGTAAGGGATTCCATATCCAGATGAAGATAAGGTCAGTGCCTCAACACCCCAACAGGCTGAAGGGGAATTTCTTATTTATGATCGTCATATGTTTAAAATCTTCTCTCCAACCATTTGCAGCACACCTCTGGGAAGAAAACCTGTCTGTGTATATTTCTTGTTTGTTTTTCCAACACTAACTATAAGTACACACCCTTTCTCTATGTGTCATATATAAAAATATATGTGTAAATGTTTGGAGTGATATGCAACTTATTTGTTTTTGCAACACATATAATATGTGCAACCATATTATATACAATATTTGTGAAAGGAAACTGTGTTTCAATGTTATTTCCCAGCTGGAAATTTACAGCAATGTCTTTGCAAAGTGTGCCTGCTCCCCCCTCCTCCAAGACCAGAGATGGTTACTCACAGCAGGTCTCCTGCAAATCAGAAGAGGTCTTGAACATGCCAAGTTTTATTCCACATGGTTGAAGACAGCTGAAATCTCATTATCCTCTGCTAAATATTTAGCTTTAGCTCTCCTGTGTGTTTTGTTCCCACTTCTGCAGCGCCCTTTCCACTTCATGGAGCCTAACAAATGAAGAAAAGCCTTTACTTACTTGCTGGAGCCCACCAGAATCAACATGAATTTCTGCTGCCACCACTGTTGGGAAGCCCAAGGGGCCTCTTGAGTTGCAATCATCCTTCAGGATACCTAATTTTTCTTTATGCTCCCTATCTTCTAGGAACTCCAGCTGTGACTAATAAGCAATACTAAGCCAAGTTCAGCCCCTTTATTCTACTAGATTTGGGACTCCCATTTTGTTCTGGAAAGTTTTAAAGTGTATATTTGTTCCATGGAGACAGAATTTTCTTCATGTTGCAGTGAACAAAGAAATCCAGAAAGCATTCATAAGATTTAGAAGGACAATCCAGAATGAAACATTCCTTCTCTCAGAGAACTGCAGAACTGGAGCACAAGGTTCATCAACCATTTGCGGAATGATTTCACAGCTCACAGTGATACATCCCAGAATAAAGATGACAATCTTCTTGCTTCAAAACGCACATAGATTTACCATCCAAGGTCAGAAGGGATTTTCTTCATCACTTAGGCAAGTTACAGACATGTCAGCTTCTAGCTGACATATCAGACTTTGGCCACTCAGTCATTAAACAGCCACATGGAGCATAACACTCATCTGCTCTATTGTGTCTGGGGACACTGAGCAGCTGGGCCACAGCTCTGTAAGGAGGTGATACCTGACCAACTGTACCCCAGTAAGAAGATGCACACAGAGACTGGGAAGTCGCTGCTCTTCTCTGTTATTTCCACAGCCAGCATGTTTATCATTGAATGTTTCCTCACTAACCCTTCTCATCCACAAGAAGAGCATGGAGTGTTAGTCATCACTGTTAAAGCCTTTCGTTTCTTCTGAGTGTGAAAGAAATGCTGCCTCTCATGAGGATCTAACCAGTCATCATTTACCCTAACCTGCGTGGATGTGCTCCCACTCTCTTCCTTAGTCTTCCTCCTTGTTTCTGAGTTGAATAGGTCTGAAATCTCTCCATTCTGAATGACTCATTCTTCTAATTCCAAAGCCCTCTCCACCAAGATGGAGTCCACAGCTGGAAAAGATGTACCAGCTTCTTCCAGCCCCATCACAAGCAAAAGAATGAATAGTGAGACAGGTCTGGAGAAAATGGCACTGCACTCCCAGTGTTCTTCACCAAGGAAGAGGCACCTCTAGCTAGACCTAAGATCCTCAATGAGAAAAGTTGAGAGTCTCTCTCTTTGAGCCCATCTCTTTTCCTCTCTGCACTTTCTTCATCTTCTCTGAGAAGAGATTTCTTGACACAGAACTTCATCTAAATTATGGTCAGGAAGAAATGTTTAGTGAGCACTGTCAACCAGGAACACTGGTTAAGAGATAGAGGTCTGTTTTGGGATGTTTCCATCACTTGTGGGAATTCCACATTCTTCCTCATAGACCCTTAGCTGATGGAGACACAGGCATAAAGTTTTCATGTTTGATGCATCAGGCAGAAGCAGTGGAGAAGGAAGAGTTGTCACAGCTGTCCAAGACACCAAGTGCTGTTTGTTGGCTACAACTTGCTCTGCTTGTTCTGATATCTTCAAAGCGGTGTTCAACCATCAAAAATCCCTTATCTTCCTTGTAGGGTGGGTTGGGTCTCTTGCCTTCATTCTTCCAGCAGCAGTGGCAGTATGTTATAAAATACAACCCTCCCAAGTTCCCCCCAAAACAACTGATATTCTCTCCTAAACAAGCAAGGAAACAAGTTCCCCTGTTGGTGGAGTTGCCTGCCCAGAGCCCTAATGGAAGCCCTTGATTTCTTGCAGACACTGATGAGTGCCACTCAACCCCCTGTCTGAACGGAGCCACCTGCGCTGATGGCATCGACTCTTTCAAATGCTTATGCCTTCCCAGCTACGGAGGGGACCTGTGTGAGATCGGTACGGCCTTACCTGGCTTCAGCTAATCTTACTAACTGCTGCAACAACTTGTTCTTCCCAACCTACTCCCCCCCCCCCAAAAAAAAAAAAAGCTGATTCCTTGTGATCCCATGAGTCCTGCCCTCATCTCAGCAAGCTAACCTCTAACACCAGTTTAAAACACACCAGGGAAACACTTTGAGGTTTTTAAACATGTATATTTTGGTTAGTTTGTTCATCACAGCACCGTGTCCTCTAAGATTCCTAAGCAGAAGCTTCTGGTGTCTTCTTCAGCTTTCTCTTTTTTAAGTTCCTCTAGTGGAGCTCCACACAGTCCATAACAATGTTGATCACAGAAGTCACAGTCTCTTTGGGTCAAGGGTCTTCCTGTTCATCTGTAACAGTAGGGAAACTTCTGAGTGCATCTTCACCCCAGGCAAACTTTCTCTGATAGACTGGAATTTCATGGAAGGATGCTTCAACCGAGCCATGAAAAATGATTGTGTTTCTCTCAGGGAAAGCACAGCTGAGAGAAGCCTCATTCACTCCAGGAATCTCCACCGATCTGACACAGCATGACATTTTTGTCATCTCTTCAATGTGGCTTCCTGTGGCAAAATCAGCAGGGAATGTATCCTTGAGAAAACGTGAAGCGACCTATTTTTCCCTCAAAATTAGGTACTCTGACCTGCACTAATACTTCTTTTTGTTTCTACAAGGAAAGAAAAAGAGTTATGGGGTTTTTTTCTTAGAGCTGATTAAAGTCCAAACTTTTATCAGCTTAGCTGAGGGGAGGCTCTCCTGCCTTGCTCAAACAAAAGAGAAATAATTCACCACGGCATGAGTAAGGATAAAATATATTGGATTTTCTTCTTCCCTTTTTCTTCGTCTCTCTTTCTGCTTCCAATATTAACATATGGAAAAGACTGTAAAAAGAAGTCTCAAGATCACTGGATCTTCAGGGCAGAAATTATGCTATCTTAACATCACTTTCCTAATGCAACTGAATCAGCCCTGGATTTACCCATCCATGATACCTGCTGCTGAAGATCCTTGTAATCCAACAAGATACTTTCTACCCTGCAGCTTCCTACAATCTCGTTTGGTCCAAACCAGACTTAATTTTCTCTTTTGTCTGATTTATGGGCTCTGATTTATGGGCTCTGATGCTTGAGGGATGCAAGAGGAAGCCAGTTCCCCTAATTCTGTGGGGAATGTAGATCTCCATATTCCCATGAGGCAAACCATCCTTTCTGTCAGTCTCCAAGAACAGCAGGATGTTGTAGGTGAGCTCTGCCATCTGGGCACACAGATAGTCCTTGTCACCACAACAGTGTCCCTACCAGGAAAGAAGACTTTTATCATTCTTTTCCAAGAACATTGCTGTCATATTTACCCATAAGTAAAAATTATGTGGGAAAGAGTTGCCTTTCTCCTAGGAAATGTCCTGCTGAGGTTCTGTATCATGTGTGGTCCCATCCCCAGGCTGTGATGACAAGGGATGGCATTCAAGATGCTGGAAAAGAATCTTAAATCTCAAAAAACAGAGTGAGTTCTCTGCTGACTTTGTGGAAGAGATCTCAATGCAAAACCCAGGAATTCTTAGAGCTTCACCTCCTTCCACATAACCCATTTCATCTGTTGAAGAAGGCAGAAAATGTCTTTAATGTCTCAACTAACTACCAGCCATTCCAACATCTATGAAGCATCTGCAATTTCCAGCTGGAATAACATCAGAAAGGCGGATTCAGAAGAATTAGTGTGATTGAAGGTGACAAGTGCTTTCACCTACCCAGTTTAACAAAGAAGAAAGAAACTGAGTACAGAAAACCTTACTGAGAAGGGAGAGAGGTGTGAGAACTCATCGAAGACCACCACTTCCAGAGTAGCAAGGACCTAAGAAAGGATGGTAGATCAGGCATCTGAAAGGCTGATATTAAATGTATTTTATTTTCTGTTTCCTTCAGTCATATGCAGCAGATAGATGTGTGGTGTTGCATTGCATGGGAACTGCTCAAGGTCTTTTCTAGTGGTTTCACCATTTGCCACTGCTCTGCCTCATCTGTGGTTTTACTTTTTTCCATAATTGCACTGAGTTCTTCGACATCTGGATTTGGATTTTGGAGATTGTTCCAAAGCAAGAAAACCCTGCGGGCCAGCAGAGGTGGGAAGAGAAGGGTTCTTGTTTGGTACTTCCTCAAAAACAAAGTTCAGTAAAATGACACAGAGATTCAGTTGCTCAGGAATAAGTCATTGTCCTTCAGGTTTTCTAGTAGCAGTGGCAATTTTCCTGCAGACACAGGGTCTTCAACACAGGCTCCCCTCTCTGCGTGTCTTTGATGCCTTCTGACAATTTTCCCTAGAATATCCCACAGGCAACACTATCAGGGTTTGCTTTTTAGCGAAAGTGACCACGTGTTGTCCTGTGCCATGCGAGCATGAGCTGATAAGAGGTGAGTTGGAAGGCTTCCAGACCCATGCAGCAACTCATTTTCATCCCTCCTTTGTGTGTTTCAGACTTGGAAAACTGTGAGGAGGGCTGGACCAAGTTCCAGGGCCACTGCTACAGGCACTTTGAAGAGAGGGAGACTTGGATGGATGCAGAGACCAGATGCCGACAACATCAAGCCCACCTGAGCAGTATCATCACCCCAGAGGAACAAGAATTTGTAAACAGTGAGTGGTGAGGGCAGTCTGAGGCTGGGCAGGGGTCCAGCCATTACACTCAGAGTCTATGGGCAGATTTATCCAAAATAGTGTAAAAACCACAATTTGCCCCACCGGTGCTCATATATATCCTAACAAAGCTTCAGCCTTGCATGGGTTCATCTGTGTTCATGGCACATTGAGTGGGTAGGGAGATGGATAAGTATGATATTAGGGAATATAAGGACATCAGGGACTAGTCCTGCTAAGGACTGCTAAGAGCCAGAGGCTCCAGGGCCAGAGACAGCTGAGATGGAAAAATAAATGCTTTCAAAAAGGTGTAGGGCAACTGTGACCCACACTTCCCTTCCTTTCTGCTCTTGCAGGTCATGCACAGGACTACCAGTGGATCGGCCTGAGTGACAGAGCTGTGGAGAATGACTTCCGCTGGTCCGACGGGCACTCCCTGGTGAGCCCACAGCCCACAGCATGAGCAGGCATCAGCTTTCCACGGGGAGAAGAGGTTCCCCTTGGGAGGGAAGAGCCCCATGACTTGCATGAAGAGTGCTTGTGTTGGGCAATGAGTGAGGGCAGCCCTAAACTTCGTAGGGCTCACAGTTTTTCCAAGCCAATAGTAAAGCTGGTTGGCTCCTCACACCGCCACAGCAGAAATAACCACTACAGGAGCAGTGCCAGCATCCCATGGTCCCTGCTGGACAGGGACATGGGCAAGGCAGAAGCAAGGATGAAGGAGGGAGTAGGAGAGGGAAGGGCTCAGCCTTAGGTAAAGGGCTTTCCTCTCTTGACAGCAATATGAGAACTGGCGGCCCAACCAACCTGACAACTTCTTTTCGGCGGGGGAGGACTGCGTTGTGATGATCTGGCACGAGAAAGGCGAATGGAATGATGTTCCCTGCAACTATCACCTCCCTTTCACCTGCAAGAAAGGAACAGGTCAGCACCCTGGAGCAGCTGCAGGACTGGAGCAGAGTCTCCAGTGCATGTGAACATGGGTTTGGTCAAAGGGTGGTCAAAGGGGTGGAAGGAATTAGAAACAGAGGTTGGCCAAGGCTCTAGGAGAAAGTTTCACAAGGATGTGAAAATAAATGAGATGAGCCATCAAGGACTTCAGCATCCCCAGGTAGAGTCATACCCTGACTGCATCATCACTCCCACAACACCACTTCCATGTCCTCCCACAGACAGATATCTGTTGTGAAGTTCAGCTCTTGCTGCCTTTCCAGGAGGCAGGAATGGAGCACTGAGGCAGAACCCTGCCTAATTTCAAGGCCCATCACAGAATTCCCATACCTCCTCTGCCCCTAAATTTTGTGGACAATCTCAAAGGGAGTTAAGGTTTTATCCGTGGGGGGAGTGACAAGGCTGTGCGTGCCCAGCCTGCACGGCGCAGGCAGGAGCTGCCTGGGTCCTGCTCAGCCAGGCAGGATTCTTCTCAGCCCCCATGTCTCTGCCCATCTCCTGCAGTGGCCTGTGGGGACCCCCCTGCGGTGGAGAACGCCAGGACCTTCGGTCGGAAGAAGGAACGCTATGAAATAAACTCCATGGTGCGGTACCAGTGCAACCAGGGCTACATCCAGCGCCACGTGCCCACCATCCGGTGCCAGCCCAACGGGCAGTGGGAGGAGCCGCGGATATCCTGCCTAAACCGTACGTTTCAGTCCCTTTTCCTTCAGGTTAGGGATCTGATGCATCCCTGCAGCTGGGAGAATGAGCTGGGAATGAGGGGGGCATCACCTTAGAGTGCAGGGTAGCTCAAAGCCAGGCAGAAGGGGATATCACGGTTCCCCTGACTTCTTGAAAGCTTCCCCATGATGGGATTATGGAAGCTAACATCTTCTGGGCAGATATGGACCAAATCACCTGGCTGGAGGGACAGTCTGAGCAAGTCCTACCCTAGGAACTCCTCCACCAAGGCAGAGTAGGGGCCACTCCAGAGCCAGGAAAGGGCAACAAGTTGATTACCAAGGGCCCAGGCTACTTAAAGAAAGAAAAATAAATGGCTTCTGAAAGGGCAAGATTTGGCACCACCTGCATCAACAGGGGGAATAGGAGGGGGGAGCTGCAGTCTCCCAAGCCCTTCCCCAGTATCCCCCTGCCCTGGTAGCAGACAGAAGTCCTGAGGCAGAGATAAGGCAAGAGACGGGGCCGGGTTCCTGACTCTCCTCCTGTCAGGCCTCCAGCTGATGACAGCCAGCCTCTCTCTCTCCCATTCTCTCTGGTGTTCCAGCCCAGTCCCAGGCCTGCCTACACCCCTGTCCCATCCCTGCTTGCCTGCAGCTTCCCAATAATTTTATTGGCCTCAGACAATTCACATCTGTCAAATGTCCTCCTTGCCAGGTTCTGGTCCAGCTGGGCAATTCCAGATAAGGCAGATTAAGCAATGGTCCCACAGCCAGGGAAAGTCGATACAGCCTTAAGGGACAAACCTCTGCCCCAGGGAGAAGATGAAAGGAGGAGGGATGGAGGATCTATCCAAGGGCGGCTGCCTGGTGCAGTCCAAGAGGCTGATTCCCTTGGCTCTGCTGTGCATCTGGAGAGCTGTAGGCTGCTTCCTGCATGGACTGCCAGGGATCAAGAGACCTTTTCTGTTCCCAACCAGCTTTTGCTGCTTCCACCAAAACCTTCCTGCAATTATCACACCAGAGCGGTGCCAGCTTCCAGGGAGACTGGCAGCAGAGATCAGGCAGAAACCTTGTCCCTCCCTTGCCAGCCAGATGGGGCTGTTTCCCCTCCTGTGCCCTGTGCACATCCCACTGCTAATGGGACTGTGGACTGGGGACGGACTGGTAGGGCAACAGTAGAGACAGGGAAGTGGTACCCATGCCCACCCCACCAGCAGAGCTGCCCTCCCGGCCGGGCGCAGGGAAGGGATGGCACAGGCATCTGCGGAGATGATGCTCCTGCCCAGGCTCCTGCCCGGCACCGGGTACCTTCTCCCCTGGGAGAAGCAAAGCCCAAGTGCGGGGCTAGAGAAGGGCCGATTGTCCGTGTGTGGGCAGGCTGGCGCCGGGGCACACGCAGCGACCCGCCGGGCAGCGCTGCCTGCGGCTGCCCGTGTTTTTCCAGGGAGCCAGGGGCCGGGGAGGCCAGCGAGGGACAAGCAGCGTCTCTGTCCCGGCTCCTGCCAACAAGGTGCCTTTTCTTCTCTCCCGCAGCCTCCAGCTACCAGCGCAGGCTATACAAGAGGAGCCCCAGGAGCCGGTCGAGAACCAGCGGCAGCGCCGTCCACAGACCCACCCATTAGAGCGGGGCGAGAGACCGAGGGGAAACGCGCGAGAGAGATTTTTAACGGAACAGATATATTAACAGAGTCGATTTCTTCTTCTTCTTGTTGCTTTTTTGTCATATAAGGGAAAAAAATTATATTAAAGACAAACCCACCTTTGTGTATATATATATAAAAAAAAAAATTAATGTTTTTCCAAGCACCAAAGCAAAACAAATTAGATCTCAGCATTTTTACTAACCGTCCGGTTCCAATTATCTTCGTGCCTTTGGGGACAGGGAGGGGGGTGGGTCTGCAGAGGGCAGGGGGTTAAGTTAAATAATAAAGATGATTATTTTTTCCTGATTTTATCCACGAACAATGTAATTATTTCTGTTATTTAATCTCCAGGGTGAACAGCACCTTTTGGGGTTTTATTTTATTTTTTTTTTCCAGAATCCTTTTATCGCTGCAGCGCGTCAGGGCGGGTGGGGAGGGCCGGGGGGCTGTGGTGGAAGGAGCTGCGGGAGGAGGGAGGCGAGGGGATGCTGAGACCCGAGGCCCGGGTGCTGGGGGCTGTGGCCCCTCTCTGCTTCCCCAGCGCCCCCTCTGCAGCGCAGCGCCCGTCCAGGACAACGTGCTCTTTCCAGGGGACCGTGCGGGGCACCAGCGTTCCCTGCACCTATTTATATTTTTGAACATATCCTATTTTGAAAGAACGATAAATAATAAAGAGAGTGAAATCGGAATGGGCACTTCGCAAGTGTTGTTTTTTTTAGGGAAGGGGTGTGTCTCTCTGGGCTGGGAGGCGGGAAGTCTCCCATGGAAGGCAGCAAGGAAGGAAGGGGACCCAAAACCGGGTGCTCCAGGCTACATGGGAATGGCTCAGCCCCAGCCAGCACCCAAGGGTGCATCCCCAGGGAGGGGTGTTCCAAGCCCCAGCCCCAGCTGAACGGGGACCTTGCAGTAGGATATCGCCCTCCCTGTTCAGCTCCCACCTCGGGAGGGAGTTAACTCACATGCCTAAAACCCATCTAAAACCCATGGCCAGCAGGAACTGCTTCACCTTCCAGATTTCAGTTCTGACACCCAGGGGATTAATTAACACTCACTAATGAGGGAACACAAAGCCTTTGCCTGAGCTTGGGTGGGCACAGGGCGGAGCCAGCAGCAGTAAGAACAATGCTCAGCCAAGGATGAGACAGTCCTAGGCAACCAGCCAGGGATTCCCAAATCCTCTCTCCCTGTCAGACTCCTCTCTTGTACTGGGAGAGAGATGCACAGCCACGTCACTCCAGAGCTTTCTCCAGTTTATTATAAGACGTCCAGAAAAATACATCTTTTCATAGACAACTGATCAAAGAAGAAGGCACTAGAATTCAAGTGCATTCCAGGCAACAGGCACATGGAGATAAGGCACTGGTGCTCCTGCAGGGACAGGCACAATGGCATCCTTCAGCGGGTCAGGGATGGGGCTGGAAGAGGGGCCAGGTGCAACAGAGACACCTGCTCTCTGCTCTGGCCAAATCCAGCTTTGCCTCACTCCCATCTCATGAACTCGGGGGTAGGACCAGCCAGGAAGGGCAGGTGGATGTCGGTGACAACCTGCCACCACAGGAAGGGGCCACCACCCCTGGAGAGGCAGGGCCAAGTGGGGTGGCAGCTGTAGCCCATGGGGATAGTCCTCGCACACATCCCATGACAGGCACTGTCCCACGCTGCCCAGCTGGCAGCTGCCCCAAGCAGCTGCATGTGCCAGCTGCTGAGCCAGATGTGGAAAATATAAAGGAATGAAACAAAATAAAACAAAACAAAAAGAAGCCTCCCCCCAACTCACCTCCCCCCAGTCACCCCTAAAACAGCCCTGGGAAACACCCAACACCAGGCACGGTCAGGATGGAAACATCCTTCGTCCAAGAAGGATCCCTCCTGGCTCCTTATCTCTCCTTGTAGCAGAAGACCCCAAACCTGCCCTTGCTGGGGAAGCCGAAGCTGCGGACACCGGGCTCTGAGGGGCCACAGTTGGGCCGGGGATTGACAATGGGGTAGCGGACACTGCCGTCTGCCAGCCAGCCGGCGCTGCAGCGGTCCAGCCCCAGGAACTTCCAGGCGGAGTAGAGATGCCCCACCCGGGCAATCTCGGCCCCTGCGTCCTGGCAGCTCTGCTTGGCCTCCTCCAGCGTCATCCCAGCGAGGCGATCCAGGTAGAAAACCTCTCCTAGGAGGAAGAGGGCAGCATGAGGGGTGAGCATCAGTGCTGAGAGTTATCCCCACCTAGCACCCCTGCCTGATGCATTCCCATCCAGGCTGAGTCCTGTGCCCCAAGGGGAAGGGATGCACGCCACTTTCCCCGGGACCCCAGCTCCCAGCTGTGGCCCAGCACCCACCTCTGAGAGCAGAGGAGAAGCAGAAGGCATCGAAGCGGTGGAGGTGCCGGTGGCGCGGGCCGTAGCTGCGGATGCCCGGGGCGAGGTGCACGCCCCCGCAGGGCTTGCGGGGCAGGCGGATGGGGTACTGCACGGTGCCATCGGCCAGCCAGCCCGCATTGCACCAGTCCAGCCCCTCGCTCCAGGCCTGGAAGAGCTGGTTGAAGTTGGCGAGGATGGCACCTTGATCCTGGCATACTTGCTCAGCTTCGTGGAAGTTGAGCCTGTACTGCCCGCGGGGAGGCTGGTAGGGGAACACGATGCCTGGAGGCAGATGGGACAGTCAGCTGGCTCTGTGGGCAGCCCACCTGCCCCAAGCTCAGCCCAGCAAGGGATGTAGAGGTCCCTGACCCATCCCAAGTTCAGAGGCAGGGACCACCCCAGTGTGGCAGAGCCTAAGGCTCAGGAATGCAGGATGGGGCTGCTCCGGGTGTGCAGGAGCTAGCAGTGAGTTGCCAGCGACATCTGGTGGCACAGGAACACAGGGGCTCGGTCCTGGGGATGCACGGACCCCCTCATGGGGACAGCACCTTCACATACAGAAATGCCCAGACTATGATAATGGGGTTGCAGGGACCACCAAAGCCAGGTCATATAGACCACGGCCCTGAACACACACAGACATTGGTCCCAGGGAGCCATGGACCACCTCTGCAGGGATGGAGAGATCATTGTCATGGGGATGCATCGGCTACGGGAACAGGGATACCAAGGACCAGCATCATGGGGACGTATGGGCCATGATCCCAGGGACACGTGGACCACCAACAGGGGGATGGATGGATGGACCACTGTCACAGGGATAGATGGACCACAGAACCATGTGCACCACTAGCATGGACACAGTCACAGGGACCTGTGGGGACAAGACACTGGGAGACAGGACCAAGGGGATGGGCAGGGGCAAGCAAGAGGGACATTTTCACAGCTCTGAGTTTGGAAGCAGAGTCAGGGCTGAGTCAGGTCCCTCATGGCAAGTGAGCAAGAGGGGCTGGGCCAGTCACTGAGGTTCATCACAAGAGGAATTGGGATATCCAGAGCTGGGAGGGGAGGGGACAGCTGGACATGATGCAGCACAGCGGGAAGATGGGTGGGTAAAAGCAGGAAATGCTGTGGCCATGGGGTCACTCCCAACTCTGACTCCACAGCGGCACCCTCAGTGTCCCAGCTGTGCAGACTGCTTTGGGCTCACTCACTGCTGAGACCCCACAGTCAGACAGCCTTGAGCCACCATGCCATCCCACCAAGCATCCCAGCTGCTTTCTGCCCACAATTGGCCTCCCTGACCCCCCTGCCTTGCTATGTCCCTGAAGGAGGGGGTGCCACAGAAGGTCAGGCTCACTGGCTTGGCACAGAGGGTCATGAGGTTCCCAGCAGGGCCCCACCTTGCAGCCGGAGGTCCACCACATCACTCTCATCCTCCAGCCCGTCAATGACCTCGCAGCGGTATTTGCCATCATCCTTCAGGTGCACATCGCTGATGACCAGCGAGGCCTCGTGCCGGCTGGCCCGTTGGATGTGGGCACGGCCCTTGAAGTCCCCAAAGGCCACATAGGTCTTGCCAATGGCAACCGCCACATCCTGCTCCTTGGTGTAGTCGTCCCGTAGTTTGGACCACTTGATGCGGATTTTGCGCTTATCTCCCAGGTCAGGCTCGTAGCGGTAGTGGCAGGGCAGGGTGACGTTGGCACCATTGTAGCTGTACACGGGGTCTTTGGAGGTTTCCACCACCAGTCTGGCTCCGTTGAAGTAATCTGAGGACAGGTAAGGAAGGTGTGATGGGCAGGTCAGGATCCAGGGCTGGGCAGTGTCCCCAAATCTTACCTTCAGCCACCACCTCTTCTACCATGAGCATGCCCCGAGCACCTGTGGAGCATGGCTGACTGCTCCTCTGGGCCCCACCTCCCCCCCTGCAAGAGATGGGTCCCAGCCCCAATCAGAGGCAGGGGGGGACTTCAGTCCCCTGAGACAACCTGCCAGTTCCGCCTATCCCCAATTTACCTTTGTCCTGCCCATTGCCCATGTCGTTCATGATGTGGTTGTAGTAGAAACCGTTGTAGAAGGGGTGGTAGGAGCCACCAGCCAGCTGCAGCAGGGTGGCCTCCAGGAGTAGCAGGAGCAGCAGCATGGCTGGGAAGTGAGGCCAAACCCTGAGCCTGGGCTGGGGAGGCAGAAAAGACTGCTGTAACACCCCCTAAAACAGCCAGGAGCCTGCACCAGCACTGCCCGGCAGTGGTGCTGAGCAGACTCCATACCAGGGATGCGAGGAGAGGGGTGGAAAGATCCAGCAGAACGGCTCGCCTGCTCGCAGAGGAGGGTGCAGGCAACAGGAGCAGTGCCCCTAGACCTGCCCCACAACCGGGGCTGCCAATCCCCTCCCTCCTCATCTTCCCGCCTGGGTCACACCACACACACACATTCGCTGCTGGGGCTTGTGGGGCACCCGGCTCGGGGGGGGGAGTGCTGAGACCAAACCGGGGACGGGGCAGCTGGAGAAACGGGATCCCAGGGTGTCCTTTGAACAGGGAGCAATGGGAAAACATCACGTAGGGGTACAGAGGGAAAGCAGTGGCTGAGCCCCACTGTAAGCAGCAAGCTCGGTTTACAGAGGCAGCCGAGCGTGCAACCTGGTCGAGGAGGTGGGGAGTGGGCTCAGGCTGCCGCCGCTGCCCCAGCCCCGGACAAAGCCCAGCAGCACCTGCCACTGGCCAAGGACTCCTGACTTCGACCCAGAGCTCTGCACCACAGACACAGCTGGCACCGACCCCATGCAACACATTTCGCTCCCAAAACATGTCCCATGTGTGGGGGCAGCCCGGCTGCCCCACAGCGCCAGAGACCAGCACTGCCCCAAGCTCTGAGTGCCTGGGCACCCACGGGTGCCCTGCATGG